TTACTACCATGATGCACTTCGTAAAATCAACGGTGACGTCATAAGAATGGAATGTAGTGCTATTACCTCTCCAACGTCCCTGCGCAATAAAGTGTTTTTTTTATTGAAGTGATGTTTGGAGCAGAAACAAAAGAGTGTAGTTGAAATAAAACATATGGAGATTCAGGGTTTGATTGAAGAGAAAACGGAACTTTCCAGAGCTCTTACCGACTTTGTTGATACTACTGGGTGGCTGGGTGGAAAAGGCGTGGRTRCWCGGTCTTCATAACTCGATCTCATTAAAAGCTCTTTTTGTGTTGTTGGCGCGGTCGTGATGTAAAGTGCTTCATCAATAATGGGCACCGGTTCTACTTTATTCTGTCGGCACACTTTTGCTAATTTGTCTAATTCTGTTCATACAACTGAACCGCGTTATGTCGGCTCGGAAACGATTACCGTATCGTTGATTTTGGAAAGCAAAACAGCGTCCAATATGCATCTGYTCGCCAYGAAAATACGCSACACTGCGAGTGAAATGCGAGTGATACACGAACACGACACGAATGAATGCCGGAATGAACGGTARACGAACGATCGAGACATCACCGTCCGAACGATGAAATAAGCGAGCGATTAATTATAAGCGACCAAATTCATGAACAGAAGAATCGAACGATCGATCAAATGAGTGAAGGAATGAACGAACGAACAAACGATCGAGCACTCGTAGAAATCAATGAACGAACAAAGAACGAATTGATGGACGAACAAGCGATCGATCGAATGAGCGAACAACGAAACTAATTGCTGAACAGTTGKKKWAAAARRWWAAWTTWAMMMCSKWAAAARKRRGKKRARSMAMYTWMYTGACGTTTCGGAAGTTAACCCTTCGTCGGAGTAAAGAAACACCGACGCAGCTCACACTAGTTTACCGCTAGTWCCCACCATAATTACTGAACAAAAGAATGAATGATCGATCAAACGAATGATTGAATTTAATAAATGAATGGATGAAATAATGAGCAMAGGAGTGAGCAAWCCAAATCTTCGCGCTTTTGGTAAGGACGCGCGCCCACGCCAGCCTCTCRTTCAGAAGCGCGCGCGAATTCACTGGTACTATCGCTTCGGCATCAGGCAAAAAATCAAAATCAATAAAACGTTAACACGAATGGCGTGTTTTATCGCCTTCATCTATTACAAAATAACTTTGCGGTCAATTTCAGATCAATTATTCTGGAAGGAGTGATCGTGAAATCATTGCGGCTTTTATAATGGAGTCAATTGCCCAGACAGAGCGTCTTCGACTCAGTGGGTTCACTCTGATAATCTTTCGTTTGGTGTCTTTGGTTTTACTTGTGTCTAGTTTGGTAAACAGGATGGATCGTTCGTGCTTCTGACTTCCGTTACGTATGCTCGTCTCTCGGGAAATCCCTTATCATTTCGAAAATTGTGCATATTGGCTTGTAGCTAGCATAAGATATTCCTAAAATAGTYATAAAAAGCAGAGGTGGATATAGGCATTTGTCAGGKGGCGMCAAAAATGTAAAAATGAATGAATAAAATCTGTCAGTGTTACGTTACATGCTTAGCGAGTCTGTTGGGATACCTRTGGACGAGAATGGAGGACCGCTTGCTTGAATTTTTCCCAAAATACACAGGCACTAGATGGGTCTATAGCCATTGCTACATCATTCGTATCATAACGAGTGTTATTGAAATTGCCTGATTTCATACTGTGGGAGACTGGTTACAAGTCCCTTAATTCACACGATGGTTAAAAAAACTTCGATAGAACGAAAGATCGCACTGTAAATAAGAAAGTCACAAAGTTTGGTATTAATCAGATCAATTCTAATAATGCTACCATACAAATATGAACACGAAAATCAAAAAGTATGAATTAATCAGTGTTTTAACGCTAAATGTCTCCAGAGGAAGGCAGAATGACTGCATGTGAAAAATATGAAAAATAGATAATAATAGAAAACAGCAATCATTGATAAATCAGTGGTATAGAACAAAWATAGATTAAAATTAAGAGAGAGAACATTTATTAAATGAACCAAATTTCCACTGTTTCTGAGCATTTATTCCCGTGCTGTAAACATGCTGTGTGGTCATTATGCGATAGGGCAATTATCAAATAAAATGATTTGGGCTTCCTTTGCCGAAGCTATGCCATATATGGAAAAAGTCATATATTTTCTCTGCGTTCTTATTAAATCAGTGCAATGTRCAAAAAATATMAATGACACAAGCTAGTAAAAAAAGGATAAAAGATACAATAAAATGAAAAAATGTGTCAGAAGTGGGATTCGAACCCACGCCTCCATTCGGAGACCAGAACGCCCKAMCCCATGCAGCATGGGAAGGTACGACCTTGAGTCTGGCGCCTTAGACCGCTCGGCCATCCTGACACATATGGATGATAGTTCAAAATCAAGAGAATCACATTTTGATACGTACTGGAACTCCAAAAGAAGTCAAGATGTCAGGTATCATTATTGAATTTGGCAGTAAACAGGTGTATAGCTATTTCAAAAAAGGTTGTCGGATAAAATGGCGAATGTCAATTGTCGAAACGGCGATTGCACGACCGAAAGTAGCATGGGTTTTGCTAGTTGAAAGGCAGTAACTTTGTAGCGGCCTTACCTAGTGAACTAATCCGGTAATGGGTCATGTTGTCCGTTTTTACATGTCGTCGTGACGTCTTGTAGTCGTTTACCATATYTATTTGTTTGTTTRTATTAATTATCTACTCGTTATTTATTATGTTACCATTGCCTGTCATTGTTCTCTAGGCCAGCCACCGCTGGCCGCCCCATTGCCGGATTAGCTCGCTAGTGGCAATTAATTTATTTAAAGATTAAAGGTTTAARAAGTAACAACTGATTTGTACTGTAAGATGGTCTGTGGTAAACATTGGCTCCATTTATTCTTCATTTCTATGCAATGTGAATCCAATAAGTGAAATTGTGTTTATCAAAACAGTGTAACCAAAGTCCCTTTCGATCGTGCAATCTCCCTTCGACAAATCGCAGTTCGCTCTTCTCCACGACAACGTTTTTTGAAATAGGTGTATAGCAATTTTTCTGAAGCAGAATGAAAACGAAAAACGTTTTTGACTTTTCCACAGCAAACTCTCAATTAAAATGAAATCAAGATGAAGAGAAACAAAGCGCTTATTTAGTTACTGGTTTAAAGGTCATAATATAAAACGAAAATGGGAGAATTACTACCATATATATTGCACCTTACATCGCCTCTAAGCGCGCGACAATGTAGCACAAAGTTATCATTCTTAATTCTTTTTCCAACTGGTACATCATTGATATCCAAAGGAAATTTTGTTATTTTAGAATTTCAGTCRTTTAATTCTCACCTTTTAATCAAGAACCTTGCATTTTTAATCAATTATGAACAATTTGTAGCTGGTAGTGTTAAAGAAGAATATTGTTCTACCTGTCCATCTTTTGACCTTAACTACGGTTTACAACACTGATCTTTGTTGTAAATTAGCAGAGATAATTAACTGAAAGAGAATCAAAATTTTTGCCCGTACTGATCATCCCTAAAAATTTTTTAATATTATCACCAAGAAAACTACTTAGCAAGGAATCATTGGACAAACTTGTGTTCTAGTGGAGCTCAACAAATTTGAATAGTGGTTAGTTGTTTGCTTTATCATTGAAAGCTATAGAAACTGCCACAGGTGAAAAATATGAAACGGATCCGTATATTCGCAAGATTTGTTGCAATGTCAAGTGTTGTTATTTTAATACTAATTGCAAAGACTGATGTCATCAATATTGTAGACAAAATGACAAAAAGGATTGTTAGAAGGATTATGTCGGATGGCCACGCTAATCCACGTAACATCACCAAGCTGGTCCTAGTTTATACTGGATATTTTGGTGTGGTACCCTGGCAAATGCCCGGGATGGACTCACCTCCGACGCTTTTCACGCAATTTAATGGAAATCCTTGTCGCTTTACGTGTTATCTAACATACAATAAAAGCCAACTACACGGCAGTGATGGAGTATTGTTTCACAATCGCGATTTACCTTCAACAAGAGACCTAATGTCACTAAACAGAACTAAAAAGCAAAGATGGATGATATTTGGGCTGGAAAATCCAATGAACGTTCCAAGCCACGTTTCRAATTTGAATGGGATATTCAACTGGACTATGATGTACACTCGAAATTCTGATATTTTCAGTACGTACGGGCTTTACAGGAATCTCTCACCTAACGAAGTCCCAGAAAATTACACTGACTACTCTAAGGGAAAACACAGACTTGTCGCGGTGGCTTTAAGCAATTGCGGAAAACCAAGAGACAGGATTGTGGCGAGGCTCACAGAGCTTCTTCCTGTGGCCATATTTGGACGATGCAGTCGTCATTTTCCATTGAGAAATAATGCTGGAGAGCAATGTCCAAAAGGGTCATCCGTGTGCTCAAGTACACTCAGGAAGTTCAAATTTTACCTTTCCTTTGAAAATGCGCTCTGCAAGGATTACATAACTGAGAAGTACTGGGAAACGCCTTTCTTCCACGATATAGTACCAATCGTCTACGGATCCAACTACGATTCTAAGAATTCTATTCCTGGTTCTTACATCAATGTTTTTGATTTCCCTTCAGTTGAAGCGCTAGCGAAATATATTCAATTCCTGGACAAGAATGACACKGCATACAATGAGTATTTCAGCTGGAAGAGAAAATATCAGCGAATTGATCCCAACTGGGCTTGTCAACTGTGTGCAGACCTTCACAATGAGAATTTACCAGAAAAAGTACACAAGGATCTGAGAGACTATTGGATAGAAAAAGACTCGTGCTCACAGAATGAGGATGCATTGGTTGATGACTTAGTAAATGGGAAAAGGCAAGAGGGAAGTTCCAGTGGTTTAGACRGCATAGACGATGACGTAGAGATCTTAGTGGATGGTGGTGGGAATCCGATCGTACCTTTGTCAGGRTCTGAATGGGATTTTAAGTAGTAAGAATATAGGCATTTTGCATGAAACGTTCACATGGTAGAAAATCCGCCAAACCGGATGACAAAAGAATCTCAAAAGCAAAAGGAACGCAGCTTGTCAAGCTTGACTTTTCTTTGTTTTGCACATCCCAATGGGTATATTTTGCCCATGCAAAAGGCCTATTACTTGAGAATCCCGTATTAATGCTTATTTGATGGTATTATTTATTTGTCATGCTTTGCTTTGTAAGTTGTTGCCGCGTTTGAACTGGCCATGAAAATACTCCTTGACGTGGCATTTACCATTCTGAAACTAGTGTTGGGAGTTTAGGTAGAAAGGGAGTTTTCAGCCTGTCAACGTGTGCGTGGGTTATCAAGCAAAGATGGTTGGACAAACGCCATCCGACGTTC